GATGTACTTCGATCTTACAATTCTCGCGATTCTTTGCGCATTGAGCGATCGCCCGCAAACACATACAAATTATCGATCATCGTCACTTGTTCTTTGTGAACATGATAATGACTTGATAGTTTTTAAAGCCGAATGCGATCAACTGTTTGCTTTTTGGATTCATCGATCTTTCTCTATCTTCGTGCGTCACCTGATTAAGTTGGAGCATTCAAAAGTCGTTCTTAGAGGCCGATCGCCAGTCGCCGGTCGGTACTCGAAAGGATATATATACAAGGACCTGTTACGCGCACCTCTACATCAGTAGCCGGCACATTCTCGTTCTCCAAAACCTTATCTCGTTTAACACGATAACCGCGGTAATTATTTATCTCAAGAGACTACAGATTTACTTTATAATATTGTCTATGTACAATAAAACATGAGAAACACGTTAATGAAAAATTAAATTGCATTCCGGAGTTCGACAAATTCGGGACAAAAATACTCGTCGTATATCGTGTCGGCGTCTCGCTCCCAACTGCCGCCAGACGCCAGACGAAGTCTTCGGCTAGGGGCCGTTCGAGAATCGAGAGGGGAGCTCGAAGAGAGTGAGAGATAGAGAGAGAGAGAGAGAGAGAGAGAGAGAGAGGTGGCCGATTGGTTAACTAACATGACTCTGATGGGAAGGGAGATTCCTCCGGGATTCAAGGGTATTGGGGAACATATGGGAAGCATAAGAAAACAGCGTCTACACCGACTAAGTTCGAAGAAAAGGCGATGTCTTTGTGTGGCAGGGTAGACATCAGTAGATACGTGTGACTCCTTCATAGGGCGACAAGTCGCAAGGATAACATAATGGACGCGAAAATATATTTTAGAACGTGTGATTTTTATCTTCTTTAATAATTCAATAAATAATGAAGAAAGACAAAAAATAGTTTTTATCAATTTCTATATTCTCTATGGGGGTGTCTATTTCTTAATATTACGAAAAGAGAAGATCTAAAACATATGTCATATATTTTATTGAAGAGCGAACGTTTTTTTGATCTTATTTTCTATTTTATCATATCTCTTACAAGATATTAGGTTTGAATGATTAAAGAAACTCTTTGACTCGTTATCTGTTACAACCGGATGTAATAATTAGTCGCGAAACAAGTTCTCAGAACTTTTCGTTCTCCCGAATAACCAGATGTTCTTTCCTTCGATCCTTCGAAACTCTGAATTTTTAAGTTCTTCTCTTAATTATAAATTATTCTTTTTGAGTTTTAACAACAAAATCATGGTACAGTTTGTCATTAAATTCTAATAAATAAATATTTTTATATGTAAAAATGTTTATATAAATATATTTATATATGTTAATATACAATAAATTTTTATATTTTTATTATTTATATGTATATTATTACATTTTTCATGTATAAAAAATAATTATATGTGAAATTATAAAGACATTAGAAAGCGACATATTTAAAACGATAATATTTTTTATAATCATCCAATGAGTTAGATTTAACTTCACTAAAATAGGCGATAAATTGATAAATTATTAATAAATTGCAAATTTTATGTCGAAAACTTACAAGCGGCAAAAATTTAGCGGCTCATTGAAATTTCCTCATCGAAATTGTCGACGCGCCATCAGGAAATCAAGCTGTAATTAACTATCCGATTGCATCGAAAAATGATCACGTTGCGGATGCGAAATCGGTTCAGAGACATCTAATCGTTGTGAATATACGGGAAGAATCGTGAGATATATGGTATGAGAGTAAAAGGATCCCAGTGCGACCTACACAGCGACTAACACAGGAAATCATGATCCCGGCAACTTTCTCAACTGAATTTAAAGGATAAAGCAGCATCTCTATCGACGGCGTGAACAAATCATATGATCTCTATCAACCAAGTATATCCTGAACTGAATTAAATCGTTGAATAAAAATAGTTTGATCGAAACGATTTACTCGTCCGATAAAATCTGTGTGATTAATCTTTAGAACCACATCTTATAAGTAAAACTATATGTTTTGGAGCGGAGCGACTTTTCTGCAAATATGATTAGTTATTTACGTACCTTGTACTCTAAGACGACACTGAGAATAAAGGTGGATGAAGAATATTCGAAGGAGATTTGTCCTGGCCGCGGGATCAGGCAGGGGGATCCATCATCTTCGTTGATTTATTTCTTTTAATGTGACACCATCTATCTGAAATAAATAAATTTTTGTATCAATTAGTAACAAATCAAGTAACAAATTTAATAATGGATTTAACAATGAAATTTCGATCTTTATGATAAAGTAATTTCATAAAGTGATATTTTACATTGTTTATAATTTATATACATATAGTATTTAATTTAAACACTTTTATTTAAACTTTTTATTTAAGATGGTAAATTGTATTTTGTAATCTAAAGTAAACGGAACAAATGGCAATTAAGTCACACACATACACACACACACACACACACACATCTATAAAGCATAACTACATAAAGTTGTAAATGCATAGCGAAAAAAAATTAGTTTAGAACTTATTGGAACTTCGATAATTTATAGAATTTTTTATTTTAGTTAATTTCCAGAATATACGCAATTAAAGAATAATGTGGGATGATTGAGAAACACTCTCATAATTTTGTATTATTAATGTAATGAAAATTTTTGTATTAAATTTTTTGCTTGTAAATTGCATGTCAGAATTCAATCGCGCAGCCCATAGATCTTCATTGAAGAAAAATGACAGGATATATCTTAGGTAAGGTCTTCCCAACGAAAGGAACAATAGAGTGCACGTGGTCCGCAAGCGAAGCAACTGGGACATGGCTGTCACGATCATCATTATAGACAATAATCGTTTCAAGGGATTTCCTTGATATTAGCACCAACATCAGCACTGTTGAATATTTCCTCTTTGGTATTAACTTCCAATACACAGTATTCTACGAAATGTAATTTAACCTTTCCATTAATTTAAATTTGAAATTAAAAGTTTTATAATTTCCTCAATCCTAAATTAGATTATTAATATTTTGTATATTATTAAATTATTGTGCTCCACATTATAATATAAAAATATTGTGCAATACAAACTGAAGATTAATTGATAATATGGTATCTAAACGAAAACAAACAAAAATGTACGAGAGCTATATAAACATTAGTATCTCTCTTCAAATCATAACCGATATAAAGTATCTAATTTTAGCTTGTGAAGTACTAAATATTGCGTAAAGTACTAACAAGGAAAGGGACCCCCAACTGTCCCCCTCCGATTTTAATAAGCTTTTAATATGTTATTCTCCAGACAAAAATAAACGACAAGTATTTTTTTATACGTACTTTTAGGGGGTGAAACACCCTTTAGAGTACGTATAAAAAAATACTTGTCGCTTATTTTTGTCTGGAGAATAACATATTAAAAGCTCATTAAAATCGGAGGGGGACAGTTGGGTCCCTTTTCTTGTTAGTACTTTTTTTACGCAATATTTAGTACTTCACAAGCTAAGATTAGATATTTTATATCGGTTATGATTTGAAGATACTAATGTTTATATAGCTCTCGTACATTTTTGTTTGTTTTCGTTTAGATATCATATTATCAATTAATCTTCAGTTTGTATTGCACAATATTTTTATATTATAATGTGGAGCACAATAATTTAATAATATACAAAATATTAATAATCTAATTTAGGATTGAGGAAAATCGGTTTTTCTCTTTCGAAGCTAATATCGCCGGAATTATAAGAGATAGAAAATAATTTTCAGAATGAAAATTTTTTTCTATCTCCTATAATTCCGGCGATATTCGCTTCGAAAGAGAAACACCGATTTTCTTCTAAAGGGTGTTTCACCCCCTAAAAGTGCGTATAAAAAAATACTTGTCGCTTATTTTTGTCTGGAGAATAACATATTAAAAGCTCATTAAAATCGGAGGGGGACAGTTGGATCCCTTTGGATTCCTTGTAAGTATAATAATATCTTATCAAAAATTAATTTGATAGATTTTTGAAGTAAAAATTTTTTTTATTTAAACGGAACAAATTTCCTCATAATATTATATATTTCCTCATAAATATGTAATAAAAGTAAATTTTAAACTTTTGCAGCATTATTGCCCTTACTATTTTATCACATATAGCAATTAAAAATAACAAATTTTCATATTTATATTAGTGTAATATATTTAAATACGCTATTGCTTGATGATTTACGTCATCATTAGCTTAAATCGATAAGCAGATTAGAAGCCTAACGGTTTCAGTAATCGTTTGTCAAATTTATTTCTCCATTTTCTCCATTATAGTGATTGTATTGATCTAACAATAGTTTTATATTGCAAAATATTAACAAGCGGTGAGCAGGATACGTAATTATTCGCGCTCAACTGTTACGATCGTCTCAAAGACCCCATTCGCGTTGACGATGTCGTAATCCATCTGAGAAAGATGCTTTGATATGCGAAAAGAACTATGAGAAGAATACTATCACAATACAGAATAAACAAAAATTTATAAAAGTGGACAATAAATTTTACGAATTCGCACTATTGCATTATTGATTTTGTCACACTTTGTAATTTATTCTCGATGTTTTTTTTTGCTTTAATTACATATATAGAAAAAAATAATAGGACAAACGAAATAAACGATCATATAATAGATACATTGTTCATTGTTTCATCTATTATTCTATCCTACTAGTAAAAATGGATAAACATATAAAACTCTCAAGTCTATTATAAAATGACATAAAATAAATTAGAAAATATCTTCCTTAAATTAACACTCGTGATATTTATACTCGCAATATTGTATAGGTATGTATATATTCTTATATGTACATTATTTTCGAAATATAATGGCCAACACACAGGACTATCCGAAATATTATAACCAATACACAGGA